GATTTAGCCGGGCAACAGGCAAATATCAAATGAAATGAGAGATGTGTTGGGCCACTGGCTGAATGGGGTGAAGTCACATGGAATTTGTGTGGCTCGAATTTTACGGTCGAATGTGGCTGTTAAATCGAGCTGAGGCTTCAAGGATTTCATGGAAATATGAATGAGTTTCTCTCCCAAGGAGTTGGAGTGGGGGCTGTTGTGTGTTCTTCCTTCCTTCTGGCTGGCCGTGTGACAAAGTTTCTTCGTTCGGAACTTGTTTTTTCCACGTGCACTCTTCAATTTCAAAGGAAACAACTGGCAACTTCAATTGCGAGGCGGCGGCTGCTTTTAATGTTTTGTTTTTCTGTTGTTTTATTTGAATTTCCTCCACGAGGCTGCGACTCCTGCTCCTCCACCCTCTCAATCGCGGAAAATCTGCGTAATCAACGGTGACCGGCAGGGGGAGGCACGAAGCAGGAACAGGAAAAATAAGTTTTGCCGCAAAAATAAATAAATAAATAACATTTTGTATAATAAAATGCAGACATGCCGGAGAAAATGTTGGGTAAACAACAGGAAGCATAAATTCTGTTATTATAGCCGCGGAGCGAGCAGGATGTGGGCGGTCCTAGCCAGAGGAGGGAGGCACTGGTCGAATTATGATGTGATTAGGCCACGGTCTTGCAAGGAAATTGTTCACTTTGGCAGGATGTTTGGCTTGGATTCTAAAAAATGTATAAGCGATGGGCTATTTCGAATACGATTTTTTTGAAAGTTATGTCGTCAAGTGTAATAAATCTCCGGTCATGAATCAGTAGTTATGGTATGTGGCCACGCTCAAGTGAACACGATTTAATACAAACGTCAGGAGGATTAGGCCGAGATCCACGCTGTTCATTTGTGGCAGGCAACTCCCGACAGCAACTCCCCGGCACATTTGCCAAATCAATATGCAATATCCCACAAGTTACGGATTTCAAATTCCCACCGCCACACACAATAGTAACACTTGCACCGCCCAACCACCCACACATAGATGATGGGGGAGGGTGGTGCCTGTCATAAAAGCCGCACACACACGAAAATAGTTGGCTGTATCAAGAGGGAGCTGTGGCATGAAAAGCGCAAAACTAGGTTAGTTGCTGAGATTTTTTACCTTCGCCGACATGACCCTTCGCCCGACCCCGACAGCCCACTAGCATCCAGAAAAATAACAATTGCACTCCTAGCCCCTACTCCGCCTGAGCCACCCCCTCCTGTCTCCCTGGTGCACTACTCTTCCCATCCAAAAGCCATCCGTTCATGTCTCTGCCAAAGCATTTCAGAGCAGAAACGGCAGAAGAAGCGAATCGGTAAAGGCGTTTGGCCACGCCCCCCGCCTCCGCCCCAGCCATATCTGTCAAGTGAACTGGAAGTGATACGGATGTGTGGAGAGGGCTAGGTTCGGAGGGGAGAGAAGCTAGTGAACGACATCGAGCGCTGAGCGTGTTCACGTGCAAAATTGCAGCGATTCCCAGGCGGGTTTCGGTTTCTCCTTCAAAATCGAATTCACTTTACTGGGTACACTGAGCGAAAGTCCGCCCAGCTGCTGGAAAACCATGGAGAAGGATCTCTGAAAGGAACTCTGCCTGACAAAAGCGCAAATCCTCCTAGTCCTAGTCCTGGCTCAGTGTAAGGTACTGGCTTGTGAGTGCAATTCTGGTTCTATTTGGAGTGTGATCGATGACGATGACGGGCAGGATGCGTTGCGAACAGGAAACGGACTGCCAAGGATTTTAATCAGCTGTTGTCGCTGCCCATGAAGTTGAGGCCGGTGCTGGAAGGCCGATCGGTTGCGGTGACGTGGCACAATGGCAGTGCCACAGTGATATGGGGTGGCAGTGATAAACAGGCCGTTCAAGTTTCCCAGGCGGGCATTTGTCTTGTCAGCGAATCTGCAAGCTAGGGAGCCCAAATTAAAAGATACCAGATACGGGAAGATACTATTCGAATGAAAAATCCATATTAATCGCCAACATCCTGAGAATGACCCTATTTTTTGCATACATCGTTGTATTCTCCTCACCTTTCGGACTATTATCTGACTTGCTTTCCTTCTGGCCACAGATTGTTTGGCCAAATTGCAGCTCCGCTAAACTGTTTGCTTTGTGTGTGTAGGGAGGGGTGCGTTTGTGGCACTGCTGCACCATCCCCAACCCTTCCCCCATTATCCCCATGTTCTTCGTCTCGATTTTGGGGATCCCATCGATGTGCGTGCAATGCCATTAACAATACGCCCAATGCCAGAAACGGGAAAACGCGCCAAATCCATTGTTATTTCGGCGGTCGATTGTTGTTCTTCCGGCTTGCGTGAGCTTACTGTGTCCCGGCCACGCCTCCCCGTCCCATTCCGCCCCCATTGTGCAAATTGTGCAAACAAACAACGGATGGGAGAAGCGGATTCTCCAAAAGGATGCTTCCAAAAGCACTCAAAAAAAGGGAAATTATCAGAACAATTAAATTTTTAATTAAATCAGAAAGAAGTGTCTTTAGTCTGTCTTTAGTTTCTTAGTCTTTATCTTTAAAATGATAAAATTAAGCATTAATTTTTCCAGTGCATGCAGAACTTGTGCCACAAATCGCTTCAATTTCGGGTTTCCCGCCACTAGCCTCCTCCCAGCCCGGGATACTTTAGTTGCGGGATAATTTGACGACTGACAGGGGCGGGGGTCGGGTCGTGATGCTTGTGGGCCTGGGTTTTTGTTTTTTCAGCTCGGTTTGTTCTCAACTGCAATAATCTTATTAGCAGTTTGTTGTTCGAACCTAATCAATTACCAACGTAATTACAAACTTTGCTAATCTCCCTCGGTTTCCCCCAGCAATGGCCATACATCCCCCGAATGTTTGCGTCCATGTTCATGTTCACGTCTAGATTGGAACACAGCCCATAGAACATGCTTCGCCACTCCCAGGACTCGTGGCTGCAACGCTTTTGGGTGATGCCGCTCAAATTTAGTGGGCTAAATAGCGATTTGGTCACTGGAGCATGACAATAGATCCCATCTGACGTTGGCAAATCGCTAACCGGAGGCTGACTCATACACGATGTACATGGCTTCTAAGGAGAAGTTTAAAGGGCTTTACAAAAATTATTAAATTCCGAAAATTTAGCTTTGTACTCGACTCCTTTAATAAGCGTACACATTCTTATTTTCAAGTCGGTTTATCTTTGGAAAGTTTCCCGCGAGGAATGCCAGAAACTTTCCAGCTTAATCAAATGCCAAAATATTTGAATATGCCAAGACAAAATTATTGCCGTGTAAGCACTCCTGTCCCTGGTACTTCTTGGCATTTGCTGTCGACAGGAGCTGAGCAAAACTTTTCCACGCATGATTTAAATGGAAATAAATCTTGCGTTAAGACTTGGATTTGGATTATGCAACGTTTGAGAGTGGTAGGGATGCGGGTGAGGGTGATGCTAAGGGAAGAAGCCCAAACGAACTCGCTGCGTCACGTAGTTGGTAAATTTGTTTACACGTCCTGCAGGCCCATCTGCATCCTCATTCCTCGTCTCAGCATCGCACCAGACTTCAGCGCCCTTGGGCCTCTGCTCCGGATCCCCGACACAACGCCCCTCGGCATCCACTGGCAGGTCTACAATTGGCATAAAGTTTCTCATATGCAAATCGCAAGTTTAGCAAAATATTTCGTTTATTGTTGAACTTTTCCGTAGTTGCTCGCTTTCTTGCTTTTCTTTCTCAGTTCACAGTTTGTATGTTGCCGTTGGTTTTTTACTTTTCCTCGCAAAGATTGTGGCCCAAGACGTTTTTGATAAATTACCAAACATCAGTTTCTGTGAAATTGCAGAGTAAAAATGAGGGGGACCTTAGTTTTATAAAAATCATGACACCTTTTATTGATTTACTGTTTCTGTTTAGATGCTGATATACATATGCGGTACGTGTTTATGGGTGTAGTACTCTTAAAATTACACACACAATTCATTACTTAACTGGGTTTATCACAATAAGTACGTTCTTGCTGGTACTGTCTCAGCAATTATTCTCGGGCTCTCCCATCTACTATGTGCATTCTGATCTGGTATCGAACTGCATCTACTATTGAAATCACTTAACGTCTAGCCAGAACACACAGCCTTGCTTTGCTTCTCTAAAATATTACACTTATCCGCTAGGAATTACACATTACTTACACACAGAACAATAGATATACTTAAGCCTAAGACGAATGCGAAATCGTTTTCAAATCGTTAAAGCCACATCTAGAGTGTCATCTACAACTCAATAATAGCCCGCGTATAATTTAAAACATAGTTAAAGCAAACCTAATTCAACGCTTTCTAGTCTGATTTGTCAATGCTTTCGTTAAACAAACAATAGCTACATATGGCGGGGAAAACAAGTGGAAGCTGCAACCCAATTGATTTAATTTTTGTTTATTTTCTATAAATTTACTTCATTAAAATTATTTTGCTTTACAAGCATATAAAATGGCTCTCATTGGCTATCGTACAACATCATTGCGGAATGAGTTTTTACAATTTTGAATTTTTATGTTGTGCAGCGTATTAAAATTTACAGTTCTTCAAATTTATATGCGACAGCAATTGGATAGGCTAATTTCATCAAAGTTTTCGAGACTCAAGCGCATAATATTTACAAGGTTCGGACCTCGGCAGGCTGTCTGAACGGATTGCATACAACTGGAACGATACGAGATTGAACGATGTTAAAACTTAAAAAGTATAAGGCTTATAAGAGTAGACTCACCTTTCAACTTGCTTGCAGCAACTACCACTTGGACTTCATCTCTCCAAAAATAAAACTGGTATAACTCAAGCTTACGTTAACATGGCATCTAAGGAATACAAAAATATTTCTTAGTATTGATTGATATTTTAAATGGATACCAAAGTGTAATAGCTGTGTCTTATGGCCAACCACGTTTTTAACTGAAAATTAGAAATAATAAACATAAAACAAGAATTACCTAGAATTTTGTGAACAAAAAAGCGAAAAGTGTAAGATTTGTGCAATTTAAACAGAGAACAAAACTTTATTTAGATATGTATGCAATTGTTGTATGGTGTGTTTACACGTGTGTATATGATACTCTACAAAACATTGTAAGATACACTATGCACTAGGGTACTTCAAAGTGTGCAACGACAGAGAGTTAAACAAAAAGTTTACATAGCGATAAATCATATGTGGTTCTATACCAGGTTCTTACAAACTGAGGTTAGAAATAAAAAACTAAATAATAAACTTCATGAAGGCTTCAAAATAAATAATAACAACATATTCCTTTTGCTGATTTCATTTGATTTCGTTTTATGCGTGTTTACAATAGCATATTTAACAAATAAAAGCATGTAATTTGGTTCATTCATTAAAATATAAGTTTTATAATAGTGTGGTGCTCTAATGGGTGTGTAACAAAAACATTTCCTTTTCAGTACAAATAAAAAATGTGTTAGGTTTGGGAGTTAACAAATCAATAAACTAAAACTAATTATGCTTAGCGCTTGCGGCTGTTTATAGTGAGAGATAATCCATTGAACAAAACGAGTAACTTGTAACTAAGGCTAGAATATATACCAAGTACATATTTTTGGTTTATGAACTTCATTGTGACTTGCAACATGAGATATGAACAAATCGAACAGAGAGTGCATATAAAAGTAATCAGATATCAAAAACTTATAGCTAACACTTGAACAGATCTTTGCATGTTTTATATTTTTATTCTTGCTTTCGTTTATGAGTCATGAAAATGTGTACAAAATATTTAATAAAAAATGTAATGGGTCTACCACCTTGTACGACAGTTTAAAATTATAAAACAGGTCGTAAAAGATCGCATGTAAGGGAACTTCAACAGAAAGTAAACTAAACTATGATCTAAGAGTTTTGTATTCTTCGTTTTTTTTTTTGTTTGATTTTCGTTTGTTTTTTTTTTAGTATTTTTTTTTGTATTTTTAATTCAACATATAAAGTGCTAAATCATAAGCAGTAATGTCTTTTTGGCACGGGTTTCATGTCTTTTTTTGTTGCAGTTTGATTTTTGCTTTGATCTTTGACTTTATGATACGTACAACGTTGGCATTTGCATCCTCACCCACTCTTGCAACGCGCGCGCTCTACACGGCAACTCTTCATTCATTGACTACTCCATATTTCACAAATTTCCGAACTCCCCTCGCTTCCGCTCGATGCCGATCGTAGGGCGGCCAGTATGCTTGGGCGCACAATCAGTACGGCTTGGAGGCGTCCTTGGGCTTCTTCAGCTGCACCTTCAGGCGCTTGGTGCCCACCTGGAACCCGTTCATCGCCTTGATGGCCACCTGGGCCGAGTCAGGGTTGTCGAACGAGACGAAGCCAAAGCACTTGGACAAGCTGGTCTGCTTGTCAATGAAGACCTTGGCGGAGATCACGTTGCCGAAGGGCAGGAAAGTGGAGGCCAGGTCCGTGTCCGTAAACTCCTGCGGCAGATGGTAAATGAATAGATTGCAGCCCTCGGGTCCTGGAAAAAATAATGAAAAAAGAAAAATTAAATATTGTTGATAAATCACTTATATCACTATCTTTCGAATCTTTCTATGTATATAATTATTTTAGTGATAGGGGTATTGATTTCAGTTTTTAGACACATTTACCCCCTGTACGTAGTAATAATTCTGTCCCACCTGCTATTTCTAGAAATTAATTAACTTGCTCTAACTCTTCAATTTGTATTACCCCATTTTCCAGCCCCTAATCGCTGAATAGAGACTAAAGATAAGTCAGACAAAGCCCAAAATTATACGGGCTGGAACGCCCCGAACCAGTAACAGCAGCTGATTGCCAAAACGGAAGCGGAAACGATGCGACCCACTCTGCTGGCTCCTCTGGGCTACGTGTGTGGGAGTAACATTTTGTTTAGTAGCACGTGCCGACTCTGCTGACATCACCGTCATTATGCTCTGCAGCATTATCATCATCATTTTGGTCATTATCGAGTTCTTAGCCCTTTTTCGAGTGCCATCCCTGTCGCTCTGTCCTTGTCACACGCGTATTAACGTGGTTCGCGCCTCCTGCTGCGGTTGCACTTTTCGTGGAAATTACTGTCAACGTCAGTGGCAATGAGCAGACAGCAGTCAGCAGTAACCCGACCCTCCAGCAGCCGAAATCCTCATAGACGGCGAAGGCAAACACACCGAACAAGGGAGCGCGAACGTGTGGCGTAAACGCTGCGTCAGCAGTCGCGTTTTCACTTTCGGGATGCTTTTTAATGACCCCAAAACGCTCCAAATGACACCAGACTCTTTGCGGTCTTTCAATTTTATCAGACAAAAACGGGTAAGGGTAAAACAAACAGGTCCCCACCATCAACTAATTTCTTTTATATGGAAAGAGATATTTAAAGATAGAACTCTTAATAAACATAATTTAAAATTATTGTTACCTTCAACTAATATTTAATTCATTGGTTAAACTTTAAAGAGCATAACGTAGTTCTTAGCCAAAATCCCCACATACTGGGTAATCAGAGAGCACTACACTCGTGTCAGCAGACCGCCCACTCCCTACCCAGCCAACTTAATCATCCTTTGCCAGGAGCCCTGCTATTGATCACCTTGATATACGACTTGCCATAGGCCTCGTCGTGTAGGCCCCTTTCGGATTCTACCCCGGAGGACGACCGACTGCTGACAGATTGCTCGACTCTGATGCGATTACAAAATGGAGCAAAATTGAAAGGCGAAGAAGCCCTTAGTGCCAGAGGCGTGTCGCCATCGTCATCGTCATTATTATCAAGTTCTGGCACCGCTGGCGGCCACAAGCTGTTGACGTTGGCAGGATTTTAATATTAATTGACTCATGGCTGGCAACCGGCTCGGCTCCTCGGCTGGTGCTCCTGCTGGTGCACTTGTTGCTGTGTAATTCTGCACACCTATCAATTAATTTAGGCCTTCTGAGAGTAACAAAATAGCGATGGAAAAAGTCCAATTAAAAATGCTTGAGGCTATTGAATTACGCGACTAACAAGCGACACGTGTGACTCGACACGACATATAATTAGATGAAAGAACAAATATCGGAGGAGCAGGGTGGGTTGCCAACGTTACAAATGAAAGGCCCTCAAAGATTCCAAGAAATTACTTGAAGAAATTAAAAGGCCCCCGCCTTACCACATCATTGGCCCTCTTTAAATTCTTAGGACTTTCTATAAGATCCTTAAGACCATAGGTTGTTTTCCATATATTTAAAAGAAAGGCAGCGGGAATCCATGCAGGAATTTGTTAGAAAGTTACTTATTTTTATTTTGCCAAATTCACTTGGCTGTCAACCGTAAAAAATTTCTCGCACATTTCGCTAACCAGGAACTCCTTTGAATCCGCCAACGACCCATCTCCTCACATCGACCCAGCGAATAAACTTCCTGCTTTGTTTTTCAAAACTCGAAAAAAAAGAAAAACCTCCTGAATCGTGGACGGGAATATTTGTGTGTGCGAAAAACGATTTCCTATATTGCATTTTCCTTTTCCGCCGAGCAAGGATTCGCCATCCACCCTGAAAATGTCGCCCAGCCTGTTTGCTTTTGATGCACTCTGCAGGAGTAGGCGAAGGAGGCGCTGCATATCTTCCTTACTCAGAGTAAAGGCTCCAGCGATATTTTGCCATTTTCTTGCCCGTCGCATCTTTTATTTTCCTATCTCTCTCAAGGGCACGGCCGGGAGCCAGGCAGTGGAGAGGAAGACAAATGGAATCTATGGCACATAAGCTACAGTTCCAGTTGGGGTTGCATATACATATATCCGAGTTGCCTTTATTGATTTTAATGCGACCTCTATATGTGCATGCAGTTGCAGAAAAATTTCAGTAGCAGGAACTGCAAGAAGTATCTTAGTTTTAGTTTAATTGAAAGACGCACTCCCCTACCAGATAAATGAATAAAATCTAGTTTTCAGCAAAAAAAAAGGCTTGGCATATTTTAAACATTTTTTTGGAGTGCTAGTCCTGTGCCCCCTTATAGTCACTCGCTTGCAAGCGGATTTCAGCTTCCACGTTCCCTGTGCAACTGCACCCAGGACCTACCAAAGCATAAGTCGCAAATCTTTCGACTTCCCACTATCCCTACCTCCTTGTCGAGGGCACCCACAGCACACACTTATTTTATATTCCGACTTCCGGCTTATGCATATGACTTTAATCCGGCTGCAGCCGGAAGGAGAGGCGACCGCTGCCGCCTTAGGGTTACCAGCCGCTTCTGCCAGAAGCGGAGTGGCCCCCCCGTCGTCTGTCACTGTCATATTTGTTGTCCTGCCTCCTTGCTCCGCCATCCTTTAAAGCGTTTTATTTACTGCATAGAGCTCTTGGGCAGCCTCTGATTTTTATATTTCTGAAATATGGCATTTTATATTTATTTTATTTTGCTGCCTTCGCTTTGGTTTCCTGCTTAATTTTGCTGAACTCGTCTGGTCCCGACTACTATACATGCTTATAAGTTGTTTCCTGCCCCTTTTTTCGTTTAAGCCTCCTTTCGGCTATATAGCTTGTACCATAGCTATATAGCCTCTTCCTGACTGGAAGGCTTGTTGGCCTTTGACAAATTTCACATGTTGGGAGTTTATCTGCCATGAGATGGTCGCTGCTTATCTCTTCATATTAGATGCTCGTTTTTATTAGAAAGTTAGTTTATCTCCCCAGTTAAATATTTTGAAATGATTCAAGTCAGAAAGCCCAATGCAGAGTCAATTACACACTATTCTATTACAGCTTACCCTCTGATATCCTGCCTTTATCTCATTCAATAATTATATAGAGCTTAGCTCAGCTCCCCCAACTAAACCTCCAAGACGACTTCCATTCGAGCAACTCCAAGTCATCTATGATAGTTTTTCACAAGCCAGCCAAGCGAGGCGAAACATGGCAGCTCGCATTTCGCATTTCGGCTAGCAGGAGCAATTTGTTGTGCTTCCACAATCCACACAATCCTCGCCCCGACGGTTGTTGCTGCAGTTGGTCAGGAGGGAATTTCGGCGACGTCATGAGTCAGCAGAGCAAACAAGGAGTCGCCCAAAAGGACGAAAGGGCAAAGCCAGTGGAGACGAAGATTTGGGGGAGTGGAGAGGGCGAGCGAGTCAGTCAACTGTGAAAATATATCTCACTATATGGTGGCCAGCATACAGTTGGAGAAACTATAATATTTAATACAGAATTTCGGTAAAAAATCACTATATACATTTTACAATACGACCAGAAAAAGGGGAAAGTAACACAAAAATAAAACACATTTCCCTCAAAGAGTTGGCATTTTTCTGACTGCACTTTCCTGGCTCATGCAACTCCCCCCAGCCACTATCCACTCAAAAAAGGATGTTTGGTTATGTAACCGGAAATATAGCAAAAAGTGCAATGCCAAAACATTTTCCGTTGCATTCTCGACCTCCGCCCCGGCTCTCGCCCACATCTTCGAATACTTTCCACTGAAACTTTAATGTTATGTGTGCCAAAGCATACTTCCATATAGCATAGCACAGTGAGAGGGAAAAGTAATGCCCAGTTGCCATATTTCCCGATATTGACAGCGACGTCTGACTAATGGAATTGTGTGTCAAGTGTGTGTAATATTTACACTGTGTCAGGAGCTGATAAAAATTTAAGCCCCGCCAAAACGCTCCCCATAAATTCTCCTTAGCGTTCTCAGGGTGGGGCGGGCGGTAGAGTGAAGTATACAAGATGATTGATCTTATTGATTTTTGCTCCGACTCTCCTGGGCATTTGCTTCTTGGCTTGTGCTTATGGCATTGAAGGATTTGTGTCAGCAGAAGACATTCGATTGCGGATTAGAGGGGCGTACCACGTGTGTGCCTGCGAGTACGCCCGGATGATTGAAATTCTTCGGAGCTGGTTAAGATGTCGGGCGTTTTGATTTGTGGAGGATTGGAAGCGCATAGGAATATCCTCGAGTGCCTAAGCCGTTCTGAGAGTTATGAAAATGCTCAACTAAATTTCCGGCTGCGGTCCTGCCCAACTGCACAGCATCTGATGGATGATTTTTCATATGAAAATAAGCCCCTTTCCCCAGAGGAGCTGCAGCAACGAGAACAATGACAGAACTAAAACTAAGTAGATTAGACGGAACACTCACAAAGTGTCCGTGACAAATGGTAGGGGCGCATAGGACAGGGCGGATGGGGCGCCTGCAGGATAATGCAGGACAAGCCAACAGACAGCAGAAAAACAGGACGAAAAAAAAACCACATCACGAACGAATGACGCTGACAGCAATGAGCGAGCGGGTTAATGCATGTGGTGCAGCATCAGCAGCGGAAACAAATATAATATTAAACGGCAGTAGAAAATGCCGACCATTTCATACTCTCTTCTAGAAGATTTAGATTCTAGAAGTTTAATCCTGATTGAAATTAATTAAATTTTAGTCAAAAGAGGCTTAGCATTATCCTAGTGAATACATCTTTGATCAATTTTCCTTTAAAACTAAACTATCCTTCATAAGGGTATTGGTGCTTGCTACTTTACATCCTTATTACAAGTTTCTAAAATAAGCGCGGTCGAACGAATTTCCCCAATTTGGAATCAGACAGAGAGCCACTGCAGGATTCATTCGGGCATATTGTTACATTTATCAAAGTGTCAGACAGCTAGACATCTCTATTCCATTCCGACCCACACCAGTCCCCTTTATCATTTAATTCCATTGTGATTATATACGAAAACTTTTGTGCACATAAAAAAAACAATGTTGTTAGTTAAATAATATTATAAATATAATTAAATTAATATAATGTATTAAGAGTCTTATTTAAAGAAATAATGAAAACCTCAAAACTCTTAATAACTTTTAACTTTGTTAAATAAATAAAAATATTTAACAAATAACAGCATTATTTCTATATTTTAGAAGAAAATTCCAAAAGACTCGACATCGGTGAAAATAACCAACCTGTCATACACCTAATTATCCTGTCATGTATTCAAATGAAAAATGTTTCTTTTTAGATAAACAATTACTTTACAAAATTGGATAACTGGTCGTATACGTAATATTCAATATCATAAATTGCGTATACGACTAGTTGCATCGAAAGGTGACATTACACTACTTGCTCCGGCTGAATTGTTTTAACTTATTTTAATTAGTTAAAAACACAAAGTAACAAGAATAATTTATGGTTAAAGGATATATTGGCTGCACTCACCCTCGATCTGCTTGCCAGCAGCTGCAGCCGCCGCGGCACTCAGTGCAACGCTCGCCAACGGGGAAGTGGACAATGCGCTGGCACTTCCGAATTGGGGTAGGCCAGTGGCTGTCGACATGTACGCCGATGCTAAGGGATTTGGATCAGACCCTAGATGGATGAACGAGAGAAGGTATTAGTAAATAACTTGTTAAAAATATTCAAATAGTGTAAAACAATACGAAGAATAATAGATGTATTGAAGGAAAACAAATATATTTTTGAAAAACCTCTAAGCCAAGTTTTATAAAACTGTGTAGTTTATCGCGGTATCCACCCCGGCTTGCAGTTTATAATTATTATTTAGTTGGTTTTTGTTTCGTCCGACGTAATTAATCATCGAATTTGGTGCGCGCAGTGCCGAGCGACATTTGATTATTTTCCGCAGCCACTTTCCACTCTCCACCGGCCACTGGCCACCCCATCAAGTACACCGGCAGCAGCCAATCTAAAATTAATTTGTCTCCCTACTAGTCGGGTGTGCGGCTGCCACGGGTGTGGTGTGTGCTGGTAGTGTTCTGGTTTCGGGTTTTGTGTAATTTGACGCCTGTTTGTTATTTAGTTGTTTTGCGTGTTTCGCTATTGGCCGTCATGCAATGCAATTTTGCGGTTTGCAATCTGCCCTGTCCGCCCCTGGTTGCCCCTGGGCCACGATCGCTGTTATTAATGAGTTTTGCAAACCATTGTGTCTGTGTGGGCCCCAAATTTTAGCAATGCGGTCGAATATCAGTGCGACCCCTGATGATTTCAATAAACAAAATTGGTATAATAGCAAATCGAGCCAGTGTGAAGTCGAATCGCCAATATTATCATAAATATGAGAGGCTCTAAATGGAAATTTGAGGGTGAACTTCAAAGAAACAAAAATGTATTTAAGAAGAGCTCCAAAAAGTGCAAGAGCTAACAAAGTTTCAAACATATTCGCATTGGAAATTGTTTTAATTGTTCCAAGTTTGGCAAATAAATGACCGAACAATATGCTGGACGGCCGAGGGGGTTGTTCACTCATCAGAGAGTTTCCGAAATAGGATCTGGCTAACCAAGTTGGCCAATAATAATCCACATGAGTGCCTGGCCGGCAGCAAGACAACAACGGCCAATTGGAGAAACAGTCAACAGAGCCAGGAAGGAGTAAGAAGTCGAAAAAATAGCCTAAAACTATTTCTGGCCCGGATGTTGTCTGTTTTGTATTTACAAGTTTTTAGTTCGCTGCTGGAAATTTCTTCTCCTCGAGTTCGAGTGCAAAATTGTACAGTCTTCTCCGAGCTATTTGCCACTTGCAGGCAGAGACTTTTCGCTGCAACTGTGTTATTCTTGGCGTTGATTTTGAAGTGCAAAAAAGGAAAAAGCGTACAAACAAACGTAATGGAGAGTCTGCCAGGGAGGAGTGGCTAGCAACACAAAGCACAAGTTGAGAACGTGTTGAGACCCTAAACCTATTTGGGGGAGGGCAAGGGCCCGGAGTCGGAGTCGGTACTACCAACTATATAGTTTACTGCACTTGAACAAAACTTTGATTAAGATTTTCGTTTGTTGCTCTTGGCTGAGCTGGGTTTTTGTTTTTTGTTTTCCATTCCCTCTTCAAAACTCGAAAAAAAAGGCGAGGAATGAGCTTCGCAAACTTTGTGAATTGGATGCGTTTGAGTTCTACGGAAGAGTACTTCCGGAAGAAGATCCTGGAGCTTAGGATGCAAAATAAGAGCCCGGCAATAGTGTTTCAGCCTTTCGCTTTTTATTTAGATAGGCCCTAAAAAACATAATGTAGCCTGTTTCTCAATGAAGTCCCAAAGCTGGAAACAATTTCTCAGGATATTCTCATCCTCCCTTTGTTATCCTTGCCAATTGGTATCCCTGACCTCCCAGCAATTAGTTTTTTTATTCATCCACCAGAGGCTATACTTTCGATACGCTCTCCATAAACAATTTTCGGAGGGGACCGCAGAAAAATCCCACGTACAAAGGCCGTGGTGGAGAGCTCTATTTGTTTGTCCATTTTATTTGAGGCAGGAAAACCAACAACAGTCATTGCACAAAGTTTTGTTACTTGTGGCAACTCGGAAAACGATTTTGTAGTTTTGTTTATGAATACGACCAGCGAAAAGTTTTTTCTGTGGGTTTCCTTTCAAAGAAATGGTTACAGGAATAATGGACAAGGACTGGGGGATAAGGGCTTGTCTAGTACCTTGCAGGAACCAAGAAGAGCCTGCTTTGTCCAGCAACCAAAAAAAAATGTAACCCTTTTCTTGTAAAACATTACAGGGTATGCCCGAGAAAGGAAAGGACGAAAAGATAGGCGCATCCTTGCTGTCCTCGCTGTCAGCTGCACTTTGAAGCGAATTTCCTTTTCACAAGTTCTAAAGGGGAAGGAGGCAGACGGGCACAAGGACATCTCCTTGGAGTCCGAATCGGAGTCCATCTGCTCCCGGGCCAAGGAATTTTTAATATTTCATTAAATGAAGTGCCCGGAAATCGTTCAAGTGGCACACGATGAGCACGCACAAGTGCACAAGGGCCAAAATTCAAGGAAATCCCCACCAGATAAGCTGCGAGTGGAGCAGGATGGCCCACGACGGAGAAGAGACGGAATTACTGGGAATCCGCTTAATTTTTGGCATTTTTCTGGTTAAGTCAGCCGCAGATTTTCCTTTACGTTCGGTCATGTGTTTTCTTTGGGTTGCCCCACCACCACAGACTAGGAGTCCCTAGGAATGAACTTGCTAAGAAAATATTTAAGAAACGAGACCGAAAGAAAAAGCACGGCCAGCGATGGCCAGAGATCTGGGCTGGGAAAGTCAACTCTCGGTTGATTTTAGATGTTATTCTTTCAGAGCATGGTGGTTTTTGTTAAATTCTAGTGACAGGCCATAATTATTACAGTATCGCTCAGTTTTTGCCTTTTAATTTCTGTCACGGAGTCTTGAAGTTCAATGGGGTTTTTATCCCGCCACCAATTTGTGCCTCGAAATATTTTAAAAGATACTTTTTCCTCTTTTTCTTCTGCGAGTTCTGGCTGAGGAGTGGCTCCAAGTAGGGAGGTCAATTGAAGGGGCAACTGCAACCTCTGCCTGGATCCACATCGAGCTCTCAGCACTCAGCCCCCTCCAAGCACTACCCCTTCTCGAGGGGGCCGCAATAAGTTCCGTGTTGTTAATTTCGCAAGAGAGTGTAGCTTGTAATTCTGTACGTTGTAATAGTGGGGTCTTGCTGCAGAATGACTTTTCAGCTTCTCGGCTTCCCGGCTTCCAACTTTACGGCCATCAGCTCCCTGTGGACCGGTGACGTAAAGCGGACGACGTAAAACACGGGCGTTACGGGGCACGTGAACGTTACGTCGGACGCTTCGTTGGCTTTAACTATCGAACTTAATAACACACACACTTTAACGGCAGGAGCCGAGATGAGAGCAACAGCTAACTGCCGGCAAGTGAGGAAATTCAAGAAATTGGTGTTTAATTTTTAAGAAATTATAAAGGAAACTTAAGAGCCAAAACAAAGCAAATCAGTGAAAAGTCTCACCTGTTAGCTTAGCAACCGCCTTCTTTCTCAGAAGGCCTGCTTATGGTCCATAGTTTAGTGATTTGGTAGGCAATGTTAGAAAATAAACAACTTTCTATTAGATGGGAATATCTTGGCTTGGGTAAAGGCTTCCAAGGACTTTAATTGAATATTGTGAAAAATGGAGCAGGAAACTTGAAAGGATAATCTGAAGCTCGCCGAATTAGGCTAATTGGGCAGGCTGAGCAGCAGATGATGACACATTGCTGTTGCCGAATATAAACTCAAATTAGGGCGCGGGAAAGGCCTCCCTAATTGGTTATTGATTAATTAAATTTGGAACGTTAATGGAAACGGATAACAGGCACACTTTCGCAAAGAAGCCTTTAATAAATCTCTGCTTCTGGCCTCTGCCCTGCTATATTTAGCCGAAATGGCCTTCTGATTAGCCAACTACCATTGGCCACTCATTAAAGCCAATAACCAGGACAACAACGCGCCAGATAATTACAAATCGATGAAGGAGAAAGCGGGAAAGAAAGTAAAGGGAGAACCAGCAACAGGCTGGCAGGAAAAGGAGAGAAGGAAGGTCCTGGGACGGGCAGGAAAACATGAGAGAGGAAATGGGCAAAAATTGGATAATTAGCCCAGTTGTGGGTGTTGTGGATAAACTTTATCACTATCAGGACTGTGGGAAATACACTTACAGAGCAGAGCGGCAGTGTTGGTGAGTTGTGCACTTCCCGGCGATGTGGCGGCCGCGGCGGCTGCGGCGGCGTTCGTGAGATTCGGCTGCGTCATGGCCGCGATGGCTGCCAGGTTCTGGACACTCATCGGGGTCAGAAGTCCAGCGGCGGCGGCAGCAGTGGTGTCCGTGGCGGAACTGCTCTGTTGGGCGGCTCCCAGACCAGTAAGGGCTGTGGGTGGATCAGGGATTAGGGATTGTTCACAAAAATACTTTTAAGAACGTACCTTGCAAGAGCTGCTGCTGCAACCCAACGGCCTGCAACTGCTGCAACAGCTGGATGGAGGCCGGGGTGATGGCATCGGCTCCGAGAACTGGGGACGGCTGCTGCGGCGGGTTGGGCAGGATCGGGGTGGCCACGCTGGTGGCCGTCTGGCCCAGGGGGATGTTAATGTTGCTGGCCAGGTTCCACAGGTTGGCCTGGATCTGCTGGATCTTCTTCTGCTCCTTCTCCTTCTGCGTGTCGGCAAACTTGACGACCAGCGGGGACGTGCAGCCCTCCATGATCTTGTTCTGGCTTAGCGTCTATAGCAGGGAGCGGTGAAGTGGGAGTTAGTTTGAATGCCGTTTAAGGGACACGACTTACCACTTTAATGGCCGAGATGGCGGCGTGTTTGGTGGCGAATGTCACGAAGGCACAACCCTTGCTCTGGCCGTTCTGATCCCGCAGCACGGTGCACTCCTCAATGGCGCCGTGGACCTCGAATAGTTTGCGCACGTCGTTCTCGTTCAGCTTCTTGTTTAGCATTCCCACAAAAAGCTTACGTTCTGGAAGGGAGAGAAGAGTGTTTCGTCAATATAATTCATATGGTTTAGGTATCAAGTATAGTCAAGACCTCGGCCTTGGTAAAACAATCGCTGCGTGAAAAGCTGGCGGAAGACCCAACCGCATCGCAGTGTCATACAATAGCCGGCGGCCCTGCTCAGTGCTCAGTGCCAGACGCAACTGGGTTGGGGCCAAGTACTAGACTAGACCGGCCCAGTTGGGCTTGGTGAATTCCAGCTTTTAGCAATGCTCAATTAATTTTACATAAATTAAAACCCTCACTTCTGCGAGCCACCAGGAGGTCTCCTGGACTCGATAACTAATTGGCAGGCATTTAACATTTCGCCAAATATTTGCACTTTCAATGGGATAGGGCTGCCGGTCGAGGGGCCTAATTTATTTGCACAAACACGCAAAATGCGCACTGCACAAATTAATTGTTATCGAATGTGTAATTGGCTGAGAATGTTTTTCCGAAGGAGGACGCTTGGGAGGATGGCGTGATTGTGTTATTTGTGCGGGTGATTTGGTCCGGTTGGCTGGGCTTCCATCTCTCGACTAAGCCAAATTGCAAATCAATTGGCTTAAATACATTTAAAGTGCTGGCGATTACTGGGAGCGGATTAAATATTTATATGTGACTCGGACAAGCAAACACAAACGTTTTATTTAAATTTCGGCTATGAATTTTGGAAGCTGCTTTTGACACGATGCTCTCTTTAAAGATTTCCATAAATATTCAGCTTGTTCTGTGTTTTTATGCAACTAAACCGAGGCCCCTTTGTGAAGAGGTAGTCCAATTAGTTTTTGTTAATTTATGCCGAAACAACAGACCATTTGGGCCAATAGCTCGCTTTATAAATCCCCGTTTTATCGCTCCAATAAACGCGAAATTTTAGTTAATACAAATTATGCTTTATGGCCGGCAGTTGGGCATTGCAGCTGCGCCAGCACGACATAATATACTTTCCGCGAAAATCTGTTTTTGGAAATCAATTAAAATTATAATTAAGCTGCTTATGGGGCAGAAATTGATTTTTAGTAGCCATTCTGGTCACTGGCCGCAGTCAGAGGGCAAAGGGTATTAAACCGATTACTATTTAAAGTTTATTATCATTGCACTTTTAGCAACCAGTGTGGCAGCCACAGAAACTTTCCACTTCTGCTTAACGGCGAGGAATTCTAATGGCTGGTTTTTACCCGCGATAGCTGTCTCCCACTTGCCACATTTTGAGGCATCAGCGCCTTCCTCCTTCTTCTTCGGCGCCCCCGATTCAATTGCCACTCCGAATGCTGATGCTGCATCATCATCCGCGTTATTATTATCATCATCCCCATACCCATGCCCATCTCCAGCATTATCAAATGCGAGACCCACTCGTGGCACATGGGGGTGCGGCACCAGCGCCACTATTATTATTATGATTATCGCAAGCAGCAAGCGGCAAGTTGCAAGCTGCAAGTGCAACTGCAGCAGCGACATCGACTAACTGCACTTGAGCTATATTATCATAATCCTGGCAGAAGCTGCAGACAGCCAGCGGCGCTCCCAGTGGAAAGGAACTCTGAAATTCATTGAATTCGGTGGTTGGGCGGTGGGGGAATGCCAATACTCAAAGTTCTCCTCCCACAGCCCTTTTAGACTGCATCCTTTTAATTCATCCGCCCGAAAAGTAAACAAACTCTACAAGCCGGTGACCTCATTAGTTTTGATCAGGAGCCCTTGCGATAGGACTTGTGATGGTGGCTCTAAGTATTTAAGCTCTCAAGTGATTTCCCTCCTTTGCCCTCAATGCGATGACAATCCAATAAATGATAGAATTCTTTCTAAAACCTAAACTACTTCTTCTGGAAGACCTCTTTAAAACCGTCAGAACCGTTCTATTTAAAGTTTAATTCCTTCGTCGAGGTGGCAGCTGTAAAACTTTACCTACAAGTCCTGCCAGAGTGTGCGCTTTAGTTTTAAATTATTAATACGGCTGAGACCCGATGGTCCAGGCTTATGCCGAGCTTATGCCTTCCTTTCCCGGCCAGGACGGGGGCTGAAAATGGACGAGTCAGTGAGCCGGCTTCGGGGTAATGCAACTAATCTGCTTCTAGTGGCGCACATTAAGTGTTGCCACGCTTTCGACTTTAATTTGAAAACATAAAGCAGTCGAAGGGGTGGGGCGTGGAAACTCGAAAGTGCGGGCCCCACTTTTCCAACCTACATGCACTCGGCCAGGACTTCTTTTTTTTTTTGCTGGCCATTTTGCATGCCACTCAACCCAGTCGGAGATCCTGGGGCCTGGAACCCGTAACCCCAAACCAAAACCGTGTTCAGGGTGAAGAGTGAGGCGGTCTCGGCTCTCTATACCCTTTCCGTCCCAATTTCTGAATCTAATATAGAGAGTGGGTTAGTGTTGTAGATGGTATTGTACCGACATGGCCAATACCCTTGAATTTTCTCTGAGAGCTTCATACGCTATCACGTTCGCTGTGGCTACCAATCCATTCTGCAGTTTAAAGTGCCTTCGAGCATGATTCTACAAAAAGCTGGCTGCATCGCCCTCGAAAACGGGTCATATTTGCCGCCATTTCAGGCGAGTGTGTGCATCCACCATCCAGTCCCCATCCAGTTTTCCCGCCTTTACCTCTCTATAATCCCTCTACCCTGGCTTATTTATGTCACAAATATGAGAAAAACGCATACGCAATGCTACGGCTGGATGGGCTTAGATGGGCTCAGCCCTCGGCAGGCCCCTCCTGCCCACCACGAGCCCTAAGCCCCACCCTCCTAAGCACTCCTCACCTGGCTGCGTTGCCACTTTGCATGCATCGCTGCGTGTTTGGCATATTTAACAAATTTTCGCAAAAATAATGTAACTCTCCACGTTGAGCTCCACGGGCTGTGTTGTTGTGGGTGCGGTTAGCACACATACTATACAAGGGGAGAAATGGGGGCTAGAGGCAGAGGGTTACAGGCAGAGCAGGATGGGAGGCAAGTGAGCGGCAAAATCTAATCAAGCGCTGCGGCAATGGCCACGCTGCACACAAAGATACACACGCCTGCCACGTGATGCAGAATCCAGCCAACCAAGCCCATTTAGCCTCATTGGCCCTGCTGTAGTGGGGAATACTTTAATTTCAATATTTTACAGCTGGCCATCGTTTCATATTATGCTGAGAGTGATTCACGCCCCCATTTGGCGGGAAATAAAAATTTAATTTCAATTTAATCGCGAATCCGGCCATTAAAGTGTCTCAACTTTCACTGTCTGGGCGTCGGGAGTGTGTGGCCCATTCAGACGTCATAACTTTCTTACCTGCCTAATGAAATTTGCTTCCGCCAATGCCGAAATCCAATTCCCCCCGACGCAAATGCATTATTAAATTTAATTCCGAGCAGTCTCGGAAATTATGGCAAGTCCTTGTTTGAATTTTTTTTAAATTTTTATAAGTGGAGGAAATGGGCAAGTAATGCCTGCAAGTGTCTGCCGAAATACAGGACACCTTGTAAGGGTAGGGTACTTTGCCGCAGTCTCCATTCTCTCCTTCACCGCAATTTTTATATTCTGTATTTTTCGTTGGGATTGCAAACGAAATTTACATTTTAATTGCATTGAAATGTGCTGCTTTGTGCTTAATCTATTTCCTTTCTCTCCCTACACACAAAAAATATTGAATATCAAGTGGAGTGGCGGAAGACGACGAAGGACTAACGAGGATTATGCATATATATCAAAAACAATTGCAGCAGAAGGGGACTGGCGAATAAATTTCCATTAAGAGGCGGCGCCGGAGCTGAAAAGAAATAAATTCCAACACCCCTGCGAACAGAAAGGAGAGGGCGAAACCAATTTCAACAAACTTGCCTCGTTTATCAAATGGGCCCAAACGATGGACAATAGTTCGTACAGGTTAATAAATCGATATGACATGGAAGCCACAAAATGTCCTTGCAACAACAACGGCCCAATAAAATGAGCCACAGCCACAGCCAAAGCCAGGGCCAGAAAAACGGGAGAAAAGAAGGACACGCCGAAGGAACTACAACACAAACATAAATTTTCATGTCGGGGCAATAAAAAGGACATGTTTTTGCTGCATACACGAGCAGAGCAGATATCCTTACACATAACATGTCCTCCCCCAGCCGCCTCGCCAATACAACAACATAATCAAGAGCATAACAATAAAGCAAGAAAGTTGGAGGAAAACATGGCCAGGGCTTTGGAAATTATTTGCATTTTTACACATTTTGAGGGTCAAGCAAGGACACGCAGGACACCCCCGCCGCTCACAAAGCGTGTTATAGATCCGAGCGAACGGGCAAATATGAATGGATGTCCATTATAGTCCTGTATCGTCCTGTGGGGTCAAAACTTTTGATTCGAACAAAGCGTGTGCGGTGCTGTGAGTGGGTGTGTGTTACTGTGATAATGGGTTTCTGTGTCGAGCAACTTTCAACTTCCTTTATTGTATTTTATGGCTCCCATTTTTATTTCGGGATACGCTTCCCTTTTATGATGCCCTTTCCAGATATGTGTGTGGGGATAGGGCGCGGGAGCAAAAGTGAAAGTAAGTAGTTCCAGTTTGATTATGATAATAACACATCTGCATAAAAGAAGACGATCGAAGGGTTGGCCTTTATGGCCCTGAACTGAAGCCATTTTTATCAATATTTTATGGAAATTATGCAAATCCTTGAAAGGCTCTGTGAGTATAGGCTTTGGCGGAGGGATAATCGTATAACCAGGGGTTCAATTTTTAAACAAATAATTCTACTTTTAAGTATTCACCCATAATGTCAGGGCTGAGCCACATTCCACACACCACCGCCAAGAGCTGACCGTGCAAAGTGTCACTCAGTTGGACAGTCAGTCAGTGAGATGGTCCTCCACTCCCCCAGTCGCCCTGCAATCATTCAGTCACTCCGTCAGCCTGCCACTCAAGCCAACAGCTGCCAGCTAAGCAAGCTCTGGGAATGCATTTGGCCAACTTGTGTGCAAATACCCAGCCG